ACACACACACACACACACACACACACACACACACACACACACACACAGTCTTTCTCTCTTTTACAGCCAACCAATGGGGGAGAGGGAGATAGCAAGAGAAGGGTGGGGGGGGTATGACAAACGGGTTGTGAGCAGCGAGTCGAGAAGGACGCAGATGTCAAAGCCATGAATCTGGGGACGCCCGTGTACCCCCTCCTCCCTTCCTTTCTCTTCGTCTTTCTCCCTTTCCATCCACACCACAGCACTCCTCTCTGTCTCCATTTCCTTTTCAGTGTGTGTCTCAGACGGGCCTGTCCCGATTCTGCCCAATCAGCAGCTCTCTCCCCCCCCCCCTCTCACCTGGCCCTCGTAATTACTCACTCGGTTCAGTAATCAGAGTATAACGAAGTGACAAATCTACTGTTTGCGTGCGTATGCATGTGTGAATATGTGTGTGCACAGTCATCAGGTACGGTGACACTCACAGGGTCACGAGCTGGCTCCAGCTAATAATGACAGGGCCATGAGTTGCCCATCACTGAGCTGTCACCATCCATTCACACATTCTATGGTCCGATGAGTCGAAGGTGACTGAGCACCAACACACATGCCAGGTAAAATGAATAAAACGTGCTCACTGGAAGGCTTGTATTTTTTTTAAACTATAATAAGTAGATTCCTCCTGATGGAGGATAAAAGGTTTGGGCCTGCTTGGTTGTTGCAGAAGTTAGAATGGATTCCAATTCTCTGGACTATTCTTTGTTTCTTCTGTCCTTCTCTTTCCCCTTTTCTTCTTCCCGTAAAACACTTGTATAACTCTTGTTTTTAAAAAGTTATTCAGGTCCGTTCTGTACATCCGTCCGGTCCGTTCTCGTGAACGTGCTATCTCAGGAATGCGTTGAGGGAATTGTTTTTCAAATTTGGCACAAATGTCTGCTTGGAGATTTTGCTGGTCAAAGATCTCTGTGACTTCACAAAACACGTTTTTGGCCATAACTTAAGAATTCATTCAAGTTATATTTTGAAAGAGGCCACATGCATGTAATAAGCGAATAAATGTACGTGTTGCTGGACTTTCGTAGGAAAACGCGCGAAAAATGAGATATCATACGAACCGTTGTATGAGAATACCTTGAATTATGACAATTTCACACAAATATCTATCAGGATTAAACGATGGAGTGAGGCCATTTTGGACAAACACGGATGTAAACTGCAACATGACTGATTGGCGGAGCAATACAACCTTGAGTCGGTAATCGTAGTCTCATTAGAAGTTATCATGATGCCATGGTTAGATATACTCGCCACTACGGTTACCTATGCTTTTCTTTTTTTCTTACTCTCCTGTTATGAACATCTATTGTTACGTAACTGCTACTAGTAGCAGTAAGTTGTATGTTAAAATATTAAGTTTGATATACCCTCATGAGTGTATTCTAAACTCTAGTTTAGGCCCGAGGCCTCTGAGTTGTCTAATGTTACTTCACAGTAGGGGTACCAATGGCTTCAAGCATCTCAGCTCTGGCTTAATCACCAAGCATATTACCCACACAAAGGAATCTATTCAGATGTGAAAACACAATGAAAAGGACATTAAGGCTCATGTTTAATGCTCATTTAAGACATGGATAATGTTTATTCAATAGACAGTATTACAGTATGTAATATGAGCAGCTTCAATAATCACTGCCTATACTCAGGGTTTTGAAAAATGAAACTAGAAACACAGTTCCCCAGTGACTGACTGACATCTTTTAAGAAAAATAGTTTATCTGAAGCTTGTTTGACCAAAATACATCCAGGGTGATTTTGAGCAGCAGTCATTTCTCTGAGGTGATGGAGACGCTGTCATCTGTGAAACCTAGTGTTTAACTCTTCTGGCCACTGGCACAAGCTTCAAAACCTTCCAAATGATTCCAAGTCGCACGTTTCCCCATCAACTCAGAATGTATTCCACCCCGAGTAACGAATCTTTAGGACATGACCACATCAATTTATTGTTGCAGGTGGAGAGGCTGTGCAACTTTCATTAAGACACCTACCGGAGGTAATGAAGGGGATAATGGACAAAACGATGGTGGTTGCTCTTGTCTTTGTCATTTTGTATCTCCTCTGTTGTAATTTAATTTGTGCAGCGGAGAAAGTTTACTCATTCAACTTGGAGTGCCTGCGAAGTCGCTCAAAATGCCATTTAAGGCTCATAGTATTGAGGCGATGCACACCTGCCTGCTGTGACCCTCACATTGGAAATGCACTAGATGTATTTATCAAATCCCATATTGTTGCATATATGACTCCAACTTTGTAGCTTTGGTCTGGGGAAGGACTTTTCCTGTTTCAATATGACAAGACCACCATGCGCAAATCCAGCTCCGTTACGAAATGCTTTCCTCCAGTTTTGTGCGGAAGAACACGACTGGCCTGTGCAGAGCCCTGGTCTCAAGCCCATCTAACACCTTTGGGATGAACCAGAATACAAACTTGTACTTGACTTCACTGATGCTCTTGTGCTTTAGCATGAGCTCTTCTTATTTATATAGGGAGCAGGTCCTCTTCCACGGAGCCCGCCATGTTTCTACAGTAGCCCAGAACGGACAAATCCAACTCTGGCTTTTAGATAGGACCTTTGCATTTTTGCAAATACAGGTACCTGTTAAATGCCACTAAATCCTACACACTGGACCTTTTAAGAGTGCTGTTCTATTATGTTAGCCCAGTGCTCATGGGTCAATGAAATCTTTAACAATCACAGATGGTAATATTTGGGTGTCCACATTTTTGCCATCTAGTGTAAAGTATGAAGTATTAAAGTGGGACAAAATGGCCATCAGGCCTGTTTTGTGTTCAAGTGATGGATACAGTCATTACAGCAGCCTCATGGAATTGATGCAAAGCTCCACGCCCCCAAGATGTTAAGGCGTTCTCTGATTAAATCCGTTGAATGGTTTTCAAGCCATTACATTTGTTGATATTAACCTTGTCTCAGCACTGAGAGAAGTTTATGGGACCAGAATTTTCCCATGATTAATGATCTTTAGTTTAGCGGAAAACACATCCCCAAAGGGATGCACTCATTGCTGACCAGGCTGCCTTGCAATAGTTGAGCCCACTGAAACAAACCTCCAGAAATATGGACTGTGGTGCATTTGTTAGGTGTTTCTTTTTGATGTGTAGCGCATTATTTGGAGGTTTAAGCAACATTCAGGTTCAATTCAAGTGCATTGTCAAATTTTAGAAATAGACGAGAGACCATCTTGAGACAGGATCACACCTGCCATGACGCTACATCGGACCAGGGGCATAAAACGGCGCCATTGCGTGGTGAAAACAATACCAACCGGGCAGCCACACGCTGCCAGCTCCCACCAGCTCTGAACAAAGCCTCTCTGCTAGTCGTGGAATTTTTCATTTTTCATTTTTTTGGCGGAGGCACTTTTTTGATGGCTGGTGTCCAGGGCCCTCCCTCTGGCTGCCGGCCGGCTAACATCGCTAACAGCACTGCCAGGAGTGAGCAGCACCAGAGGAGCTGTTGTAGCATGTCACAGGTGGTGTCCCCCTGCTCTTCTAACTCTTTCTCTGTCTCTGTGTGTCTGCCTCCACTTTCCCATTTTCTCTTTTATCTGGTTCCTCTTGACGAGGTCGTTTAATGGTGAAATGAATCCTTTTTATCACACTGCTAACATACCAAAGCAAACTGATAAACAGATTTCTTCAATAAATATGTGTGTGACGTGAGCAGCGGGAAGTCACCCAGGTGATTGCAGTGCAGAGAAGGTTGTTTAGGTAATATGGGAATATACGGTAATGTATTCACCATGGGACTTGAATGTGAAGACTGGAGGCTGACTTGTGATTTTTATGCGTTTGTGTGTGTTAAGATCAGTGCTCGACTCCCTTCGCTCCTCTCTTTTCTCCACAGTCTATCCAGACCTTTGTAACATCAGCCTGGCTGCAGTTGGAGACGCACTTAAGCACCAAGACCACATTGCATTCTGGGATGACGTGTATGGCTTCAACATGGCGTGCATGAAGAGGGTTGTGTTGCCTGAGTCTATGGTGGAGATGGTGAAAGAAGACACGCTCATCTCTGAACCTGCAGTCATACAGGTGAGCATGCTTATAAGTGTTTCACTTCTACATTCAACCTGCAATGTGGTGGCTTTGGAGGTCCAATAATAATACTAATATTTGAAACCACAAGTACACAAAATGTTTTACTAATATTCATTATTTTTGAAAATGACAATACAATGCAACAGTGATTTTGTTCTAAAATAATAGAAAATGTACTTAACATATCCTAACACTGTAAGTCAGGCTAAAGTTGTCCTCCGTTTAGCCCTGTAAAGAACAGTTCAGCTGAGGTCTGAGATTTTTTCTTCTTCTTCTTTTTGGAAAAAACATTTATATTGATTGAGTATTGGTTCCCAACTTGGAGGTCTGGACCCTTTGAGGGGTCGTAAGATGATTACTGGTGTTGGAAATAATAATTAAAAAAAAACTTCTGCTCCAAAAGATGTTTTTAAAGCTAGTATCTAATCTTTGGTTTGTTTTCTGTGTTTCATCTTCAGGCATCTAAAAATGATTAAAATCAAACAACCTGAGAAGGCTAAATCACTCTTCTATTGACCTGCTTACAAATCGTAGACAATGCAAACGGGGCTGAGGGATTCACTATTTACCATTATGATAAACAAAATCATTTTTAAAAAGTTATTAAATGTTCCTGCCAGAGGTTTCACTGAGACTAAACCTTTAGCACAGACTCTTGAGGCTTTTTTTTCTGTTGCAGTGATCAGAGTGGATCTTTAATTTTGTCATCTGTGGAGGACACCAACTACCTAACATCTGATATTTAACACCTGTATCAGCTGGACATATTTGCAAACCAATATGTCTGATCCTAATGTACAAGGATCTTGGAGGCTACAAGTTGGAGAAATAGAGTTTGTGGGGCCCAAGCTGTTAGGCCACAGAGAGGGAATGAGAGCAGGAGTTAGCTGTGGAGAGAGAGATAGGGCCCTGTGTGTGTCTGTGTGTCTGTGTGTCTGTGTGTGTCTATGATGCTGTAGCACTGGGTGATTGATCTGTCTAATCCTTGTTTAAGTTCCTCTTCAGGAAACTTCATTACTCTCAGCCCCCTGTGGATAGAGCGGTTTTCACTGACGGCAGAGCGCACACATAACGCAGAGATAAAACAAACACAGTCCAACATATATAAGAGCACAGATACCTCTTCTGAATCTTTCTGTGTAAGAATGCTCTCCCTCTTGTCTCACACGCCATCGTGTGTTTCTTCGCCGGTTGGCCCGCTTCCTAAGCAGCATGTCCTCCACCCATCTGTGGATGTGATGAATGAGGGGAGAACTTGATATAATGGAATTTGAATCCTCTAATCGATAGTTTCTCCCCTCCAGTGACAAATAGACAGCCCCGCTGCCCAAATTACATGGACTCTCATCTATTGCCTCCCGTTGATACGATCCAATAACATTCCATTAAGGCTGGCTGCTACTCCGTAAAATTGAGAGCCCTTCCATGGAATTATAAATTCCTGCAAAACAGATGAGTTTTGTTTTTTTCTCAGTGAGGACAGATAGCAATGTTCAACTTGAGGAAACTCGCAACCGTTCGTACTCTTTTATTGCAGCTGTTTTGTTTTCTGATTGTTGATTTGTGATTTTGTAGAATGTAGTTATTCTATTCTATTCAGATGAAAAAAGTGTGTTTCCATCGACCTGTTTTTTTGCACATTTGTTAAATTGTCCCATTTAAAAAAAGCTAGAAGAAAAATTGAAATGTCACAAAAACGTTTTTAGGCTTGGCTGAGGTGGGAAAGTTGATGAGTCGCATTGATTACCAGCAAGCTGTCGTTCTGTTCTTACAGATATTTGTTTTTATCCCCCAAAAAACGAGCATGGAACTATTGATGATAAGAAGACGTAGAAGACTATTACGTACAAGACTCCATCCTTTTTTTCTGTCACGGTTTACACTTAAGGTCAATTAAAACCTGCTTTTTTTTTTTGTTACAGCTGCGAACCAACTGTTCGGGTTGCGAACCAAATTATTTTTGTTGATATTCTCAGAGTAATTCAAAATTAGGTGCACAAACCAGAGACGAACCCCGTTCCATGTTAGTATTAGTTAGTCTGATGCTTCAGCCAAAACAAAGAGCTGCTTCTTATTGTCTAGTAGTTTATTATTGCTTGATCACCGTTCATATTGTCATCTGTATTTATCTTCTTTTTTTTTAAGTTGTGCATTATATGCTGTGTTTATTTCTGTCTTTCAACAGACGTTTGACTGTAACAGAGTGTGTCTGTCTGAGCTGGAGTTTGATTCAGATTTCAGCCTGAAGATAACAAACACCGCCGACTGCACAGTAAGTACACACTCATACAGACACTGCCCTCTCGCACACTGACGAATCCATAATGCTTTTGATAAAAATTGAAGAGTTTGTAAAATTGATAACGAATCGCAAAATTGATCATAAAATTATGATCTTTGAAATATATTTCTCTGATAGAATGCGGCGCCTCTGCAGTAATCAAACACCACCCTTGTTAAGCAAAAGGTTAAAGATTAAAGATCCAGTGTTTAGGATTTAGAGGCATCTCTAATCACATCTCCCTTTCCAAGCGTGTCGGGGAACTACGGCGGCCTTTAGGTAACATGTCAAAGGCCCTCTGTAGAGTCAGTGTTTAGTTTGTCCATTCTGGCTTACTGGTGAAACATGGCGGACTACGTGAAGAGGACCGGCTCCCTCTGTAGATATGAAGGGCTCATTCTAAGCTAACGAAAACACAACGGCTCTTAGTTTCAGGTGATTTTACACTAATGAGAACATAATAATAAATATTGTATTTAGTTTCTGCATATTGATCCCCCAAAATCCTACACACTGGACCTTTTGTAAGGGGCTACACAAAAAAATGACCTGAAACAAACATTTGCCCACCCGCCATCATTTATCAGAGCCATTGTGTGAAAGGAACAAGGCAGTACAACCAGCAGAGACATCAGTCAGCTCATGTTGATGGATCGTGTTCCTGTATTTAAGAGGATGTCTGTCAGTGTGATATTTAATAGAGTTTCAGATTGAATCAGAGCAAGGAGGCTAATGTGACTTTGAATTACATGTCATACAACATAGTGGATGTTCACAGCCTGTTTGCCCCGTCATTCTCTCAAACACACACTCGCTCACACAATCACAAGCCGCCTCTCACGTTGGAGCCTTAACTAGTCGCAGTGTGTTAAAAACACATGTTTGTGTCGCCTGTTGACTCCTGTAGGGGGCGGTAAAGCGGGCCGTCCTTTGATCACAAGGGGGGGGGGGGGGGTTTGATTCCCGGCTCCTACTGTCCGCAAGTGTCCTTGAGCGAGACAATGAACCCTGAAGCTGCTCCACGGGGGGCTTTACCGCAGCCCACTGCTCCTAAATGCTTTTGATGGGTTAAATGCAAAAGGTCAGATTCTATGCATGTACCTGAAAGTATGACACAAAGGTAATTAAGTTTTACGTCCGGTTTCCTCCATCCACTGATCCGAAGCAGAGTTACTCTTCATGTTTCAGCCTTGTCCACTTGTACGTACTCGTCTCACGACGCACTATGGATTTAATAACGTCATAAGTCCTCAGACGAATAGGTAGCCATGATAATTTATTCAACAGATTGTTTGTGACCTCCACAAATCTTTCAACCATTTGGGAAAACACAGTCATGATAAAAAATTAAAGAAACGGTTTGGATGTTTAGAAGTAGGGTTGTATGAGGTAATTATTCATAGTCAGTGTGTTACGCGGGCAAAAGCATGTACTGCTACGGATGGGGGCAGCAGCTAAACACATTTTAGCTAGCTAAAAAGAAAATCTCTGTAAGTGTACGCTATACTTAAAATATTTTTACCACTTTATCTTGCCGTCAGACAGCCCTTCCAGATGGGGAACTGATGCAGTTCCATATAGGGCATCTTCAAAGCCACCAGCCTCCATTGTAGAAAACAGTCATTTTACCCCGCAGAGCACAGGAGCTGCTGCTCTACAGCTGCATCCATTGGTTAGTTTGTTTGTGTTATTGTGTGACTTTGGTGAATCCGAACAAACGCTTTGAAACACCAAATACACACAATACCACAAACTAACTAACCGAGCAAGGCAGCAGTAGAGCAGCAGCTCCCTTGTTCTGCGAGGTAAAATGAAGGAGTCCTGATTTGAGCCGTTCTTCCTCTTTTATTTACATATTTGATATGCAGGTAATCCTAACGTAACTGAAAGTAATCCATAATCTGGAAAGTTACTTTACTTTAATATTGTGATTCTTGGATTAGGTTCCTGACTACATTTTTTTAAACAGCTAATTAGTAATTGTATTGTCATCGTAAAAATGTAGACATGATTACTGTGAATATGATGGATTAATCATATGACCTGATAATGCGCAACGTGTTTTTGGTGTTTAATCAGTCATAGGGGGAAACAGATTAGGAATCTTTAATTACCTAATTTATGCTTTCTAATTAATAACACGTGTGCATATATTAACAGAACATAGTGTTAAAACTAAAATAATTTGACCCTGATAACCAACAACACCCGCAACATATTCATGCATCTCTGTCCAAAAGTAAAACTCTATTAAACCAGAGGACACTTTTATTCCCATCCCTGAAAATAAATACAGTTAATTAACCCAAAGACAAAAACCAGGAGCCCCATGTGAGACCCTCACAGAGTCGTGTTGTGTAGGTCAGTTTGACCAACGACAGCAACACTAAATTAAAGTGTATGTCCTCAGTGAGGGTCAGCTACAGGCACCAAAGCATGGAGAATGGTTTATGATTCTATTTGGTGAGGTGCTGGCAGCCACCATAACCCCCCCCCCCCACTCCCCTCCAGGCCATCCCCACCCACTTCCCCTGAACTTCTTCCAGCGTCTGAGCCACATTCCTCTCTGTAGTCCCGGCCCACTACAGAACAGCCTCACTACTGCAGGCTCTGGCGCTCTGCACCGTGAGAAGTGATCCATCTGTAGAAAAAGCCCATTGTGTCGGAGCAGCTTTGTGTTGTGCTGCAGTGTTACTGCACTGGTCTGGTGTATTGGTTTAATGGATAATCAATAGGTGGTTATCATCTGGCCGGTGAATTTAATGGGATTTTTTCTGCTCTGTAATTGAAAACATCCAGTTTCTGTATCTAGAGTATAAGTCCAGTCATGTTAGGGGTCCGGCAGCAAAACAGATTATGGGATCACATGCTACGGAGGTGTGATTGTTTTTAGGTGCTAACCACTCTTTCCCTGCTTTTCTTCCTGCTATTTATTCTAACCATCCTCAGTTATTGTGCTGATTTGCAAGAACATACACACTGAATGTGTCTTTCATTCATCATTCAGTCGTGCTATCAGACTGCTTTTATCCTGGTGTCTCTGGCTTTTATAATGCACGTATTTTTTAGAAAGTATCCACGTGTACACATTGTAGATGCTCGCCTCCTGCATCCAGCCTGCTCGCCCCAGGATTTACAGATGGATTATTGACCTGCAGGAGTTAGTGTGTGGCTACCATAAAGATACTGATCTGTAGTCAGTATTGGCTGCAGCTCCTCAGTAGCAGTTAAGGTTAGGATGTGTGAAGGGTAAACCGCTCCTGGACCAGTGGATCGGTGAGGGAGAGCTGCTGCGCCTCTCGTCCTGTGATGGAGCGCCTGCTTTTGTTCTCCTGTCGACAGTCCATTCATCAGCTCAGCCTGCCTAACCTTGCATTAAATGAACAGCACAACCCCATGCGTCTGCGCCGTTCACACACAAGACAAATCCTTTTTTTTTTTTTTTTAAATCCCTCCTTTCCTCGCCTCTCTTATGCATCTCACATGCTCTGCACCTTGTATACATCGTGTCTGCTTTTGCAATCCGTGATGCCTAATACAGGATATGTGCTGAAACTTTCATTACAACTTGGATCAGAAATTCTCTCAGGGCGTCTATACCCATGCCTTTTTTTAAATGTTATCCCCACAGCGCCATGATCCACTTACCTCAACTGTAGAACAGGTAGCATAAAAGCCTCGTCCCTGCGTTAAGGCTGAAAATTATGTATGCTGAAGGTGTTGCAGGAGAGAATAAGTTTCTGTCTGTAATTAATTTTAACTCTGCTGTCTCACTGCTGCTGATGTGGCTACTGTAGCGCTTCAGAGGAAAATGTCCCCGCAATCCATCTCTAACCTGCTTTCCATCAAATTTAAATCGTGTGTTGGGGGGGGGGGGGGGGGGG